AGTCTTAATATTCTCTCTCGCGGCTGTCCGCGGTGTGTCTGTTGAAATCGGAACGAACGTGTGTTTGAAACAAAACCCCTCCCAAAGGTGAACAATGAACAAAGCACAGCACCAGATAGTCCATCCCGCGACCTCGCATGCGCATTTACATACCAATGTATGACGCAAATACACAGCCGATGGGTAGGAAAACACATGCTACTTAAGTTTGATATTCAGGCGAGCGCTCATGCACAACTGGCACATTGTTGTGTACCGGCGAGAGGCAAGTTGACGTGCAAGGTCTGGTGGCCTTGGGCGGCACAACCCTCCTCCGACACACCAGACGCTGCATGCAAAAACACGGCAAAATGCCACCCCAGTTTCGGAGGAGAGGCTCGCCCGCGCCACTCCTTAGTACGCCGGCACTATGCAGACATGTATACACACACACGCACACCTTAGGCAAAGAATGCACTCGAACTCGCTCGGAATCGTGCAGGCCGTCGCCTCGTCATTGGGAGCATCACGAGCAGCCGCTTCGGTCGTTCCTCCGCTATCAACTTCCAGAGCAGGACTCGCTGCCGCCGTAGCAGGAGAACTCCCCTCTAGCGCCTCCAAGCGACGTCGCCGGGTGTTGGTAATGTCCGCCATTGTGTTTTGCGCTCCCCGGTACTGGAGGGACTGCAGTACAGAAGTAAGTAATATGCCAGCCGGCCGGACAGGTGGCAACAGGAGAGGAAGAAAACGAGGGGCACAACAGAGCAGAATCAAGGATTGGGCCAACGAAAGCGGGGACAGCCGTCTTACTAAAACCAAGATGTTGAGAACGCCTCCGAATTTCATGAGGCCTCCAAGGTTTGCTGTGGGGGTCTTGAGTTCTGAGTTCTCCGGCGCCGAGCACACCCTAACGAATACCTCTCTTGGCGCGTACCTGCTGACTGCCTGGCTGCAACGAAGCGTTGCCCACCTGATGAAAGGGCTATCGGTGCGCTTGCTGTTGAAAAGTGCGGTGCTATTGGTCCTGTTGGTGGTCGGACTCGCCAAGGCCAAGGAGGAGGACTACTACACGGTACGGCGCGCGTGATTCCTTGCCCTCGAAACGACATTTACTTCAAGTAAGACCGGAGCTGCTGCTGTTGCTGTTTGCATCTACATGAGATGTCAGAGTCTGCAGACAGCCGGAGGGGATCATGATGGCCGAGTATAACGCTTTGGGTGGTTGTTGGCACATACGATTTGTACAGCATCACAGAGTATACCTGATGTTCTTCTAACAATAGTCAGTCGCGGCTTGGATTATTCGAAACCCCATATCGCCTACATTACATACCCGCCGTAAGCGCAGGTTATGGCCAATGGGTGATCGGCGTTGGATCCTTCTGCGACTTTTTGTGCTGTCTCAACCGCTCAACAGTTTTGTGCTGAAAACCTTTTCTCACCTCAATCCCCGCCCCGTGTCGCCCACCTTGCGAACCGGGCATGCCGTCACGCGCTGGTTGTCTGATTGGACTGGTCATCAGGTTCTCGGGCTATCCAAGGACTGCTCTGACCGCGAAGTAACAAGAGCCTACCGGAAACAGGTAGAAGTACAAATCAAGTGTACCTGGTGTGGAGAGGGATTCGGGTTCGCACCAAGCCCGGAGTAGAAGTGGTTTATCATCTTATCAATACTGGCTTGATGCCAGGACCTACGGTGCACTACAGCAGTACTTCTAGGATGGATTCGGCGTTGGAGTACACGGACGGTGTGCCGGGGAACAGAAAATGCCTCCGTTTCTGAATGATGCAGCATATTTCAAGACAGGTGTGTGTATCCTTGGTTTCCGAGAGCGATGACAACGACGACCAGCAGCAAACAACAGGGACGAGTCCTTTGTTTATGACCCGTTCATGTGTTCCGGCTCGACTTGGCGTGGAATGCATTCGATTCAAGGCGAGGATAGAGGTGGTCAGAACGATCTTTTAAAGTTGGCACCGCAGAATATCTATCGTTCGTATCAATTGGCTTGCGTACCCTTAGGGTCCTTTTCATTTTGAGTATCCCCTTTTTAGGGTAAGTTAGCCTGTGACAACGGGAATCGACCGCGTCAAATGTTCGATCAGTGCGTCACGATGAGGGTACTGGTTAGAGAGATCGGAACGAACGGTGAATTAAGGTGTTCACAAACAACAACCGCAACAACGGTACCCTTCTAATTCGACGGGTTTCTTGCTGTAATCGTGACGGTGTTTTGAGCGAAAGAGTGGGATACGCTCTCTCGGGATGTCCAACTACTTGATGTGGGTGGCGCGTCTCAGACTGGCTGACAGAAAATGCCGCGTGTGTTCCTCACTGGTCTTTTCGCGCGAATTGGCTCTGCCGTTGGTACTTACTGCCGCTGCCCGCATGCCCACAGGCGCTCAAATGGCATCCGGACAAGAACAGAGATGACCCGAAGAGAGCGGAGAAGCGTTTCAAGCTCGTGAGCGAGGCGTATGAGGTGAGTTCGAATGGTAGGTACTGTTGCACCAGAGTACCAGCGATCACGAATCCAAGCCTCCTCCTTTTGTGTGACTCTGACTCTTGTGGATCGAGCGACCCCGTCCGAAGCCTGCACTGCTTCAGGTGTCTACCCGCACGATGGCTACACCGTATGCCTTATTGGTTGATCTTTGGCCACAGCGTTTTCGGTAAATGTTTCTGTCTGCATGACGCTACTTGAAGCATCAAATACATGCCCAGTTACAGTATGCCAGACGTCATCTGTGGTCGAACCCCGAGCATGCTGGGTTGAAGTCCTACCATGCCGTCTCTCGCTCCCGCTGAAGACTTCAGCGACAAACACCACCATCTGCCCTTGGAGATGCCATCATAGTGCGAACGTCCAGATACCACGCGTAGCAAACCTACTGTTTATCCGTTTCGTTTCGCTTTCATCAGGTCCTCCACGATGCCGAAAAGAGAAAAATGTACGACTTGTATGGGAAGGAAGGCGTGTTCGCATCCGCGGGGGCCGGCGGCGGCCCCGGCGGGGCCGGGGGGGGTTGGCCCGGTCAGGGTTCCCAGGGACAGGGAGGAATGCCGAATTTCGCCGGCGCACAAGGCGGGCCTGGGGGAGCGAGTTTCTTCTCGTTTGGGGGGGGAGACGGGGGGGCGAGGGGAGGCAGAGCAAACGGCGGCTCCTTCGGAGGGTTCACGGACCCGCGAGAGCTTTTCGAGGGTATGTTTGGAGGCGCCGGGGGCTTGGACGATTTTGGAGATGTCGGCGCTTCTAGCCTCTTCGGCGGTTTGTTCGGGTCCCCCTCCTTCGACGACCCGTCCGGAGTGGGCTCGAAGAGGAAGGGCGGATTCCACGGGGGCCCCGGTCAAGGGCGGCCGCGGCGGCCGCGGCAGTCCGGACCTCCCGTGGAGAAAGAGTTCTGGTGCAGCCTGCGGGAGCTGTACGAAGGGTGCGAGAAGAAGCTGAGGGTGACGGACACGGTTTCGGACCCTTTCACTGGGCAGTCGCGGAAGGTGTCCCACGTCTACCGGATCACGGTCAAGCCGGGTTGGAAGGAGGGGACGCGGGTGACGTTCCCCGCGACCCGAGAGGGCCTCCGGAGCATCTGCTTCGTGCTGCGGCAGAAGAGGCACCGGTACCTGCGTCGGGAGGGGGACTGCCTGGTCTACGAGTGCCGGCTGACGGACGACCAGGCCCGCCGAGGCGTCCGGATTAGCGTGCCACTCCTGAGCAAGGCCGACCCGCCGGTCGAGCTCACGACCAAGGGGCAGGAGGTGTACCACAACAAGGAGATGCTCCTCCCTGGGCTGGGCATGCCCACCAAGACCGGCGGCGGGGGTGGCAGGGGGGCGTTCAAGATCAAGTTCTTGCTGCAGCAGCGCTCCGGGAAGGCGGCATCCCCGGCCTGATTGATATCCCCCTGATTGATACCCCCCTGACGGCGGAGGCGTCGGCACCAGAAATTTCTCTCTTCTTGTTGCTGCTGGTGTTGTGTTGGGCGCGAGATGTGCAGGGCGATGTGGGCTCCTTCTCTGGCGCTAAAGATCCGCAAGACGGCTTGGTTGGGGTTGCTTGCTGAGTGGGGAGATAGATCCATGCATGCCCATTTTTCGTGACCCGCCGTGATTCCGCGCGGGCGGGCTACAAGAGACTTGAGCGGGACGGCTGCTGTCTAAACGACTACATACATACGTGCGCACTGCATGCGTGTAGCGTTCGGTTTACTCGGAGGAATTTGGAGCGAAGTTTTGAGGCGGTTTAACAACAAAGAGGCCAAGGTGTCTTGCAAATATACGCTCAAGGGTCGGTGCAAGTTCAAGGCGTGGGGGCTGGGTTCACCTGTTGCGCCTGGTTGTTCCAGGGCGCGGATTTTCCCTACCTTAAATATTATGTTCAAAAGGCAGACGATGTTTGTGTATGGAACGGGGTTGCCCATAAGGCGATTTGGGGGCTGAGAGTTGGGGATGGAATAATAGAGCCAGTGTGCGGCGGTGTGCTTGTGTATCTCGGGAGAACAAATCAATGGGTGGATGGAGTAGATCCTGTCGTATGTCGTCCACTCAAATACGTATAAATTTCAAACCTCATCAGGCGAATACCACCGCACTACATTGTACGTACTTCTGCGCGGACGGGTGCTCGGGAAAGCAGTCGACTCCCGTCTGCGCTATGGATTTCATCCGGTCTCATCTTGTTCGCGTCCGTCCCTTTGCGCCCTTAATCCCTCACTCGCTGAGTTGCTGTGCCGCTGTAAGCTCGCAGGGTCGAGGGTTGACTTGTTTTGTCCAGAGAGCAAAAACCGAAGGGAAGCAATTCATGAAGTGAAACGAAATGGAGCGTGTCAACTACACACTCTTTAGCCCGCGACAGCAGACTTTGGGGAGCGGCTCCAATTTTCGCGATGTGGCCTGTGTTCTAGGTGTAACAATAAGCACATGCACATAATGATGTACTCGTTTGAATTTGAAATCAAAATAAGGCATCCCCCACTAGTCCCAGGCGTGGTGCCCCCCCCGGCCGCACACACGGCGTCTTCCAGCTTCCACTGCTGTTCAATCACGACACTCCTGGCCTCATCTATCCAACCTTCGCCACCTCCGCTGAAGCAAAGGGCCTTCAACACCTTCTCCATTGCTTGTTGCAGCCCAGTCCACCGGTCCGACAGGTTGGAAATGGTGAGCTGTGTTTTTTACCGGGCGGCGTGCTGTATCCTTTTGCGTCTCCCCCCCGGAAGCATCTTCGCACGACTCGAGGTGAAAGGCAGGCAGCGGTAGCTTGGATACCATTGCTACTGCTGCTGTTTCCCTGCTGATGGCTCATGTTTCGTCGCCTTTTTCGGTTGGGCGTAGCGGCTGTGCTGGCGCAGGGGAGGTTTCCTTGAGATCCTGCCGTTTGGCTGCAAAGAACTTGTTTTTCGCTCTCTCGTGGCGCACCATAATGCCGTTACACAGCCTGGTATTGAGTTGGCAAGGACTGCTGTGCTCCTGTGTACTCATCCCTGGTGCCGTCCTCCCGACCTTCAGGGTCAAAATCAAATGCCCACCTAAGTTGAGAGACAAGTGGACAAGTCCCCAGTATTCCTGCCGCTTTTTCTTCAACCGATTTCGTGTTTATATACAGGCGGTGCTCCAGCAGGTAGACAACTACACATTCATAGGCTTACAAAAAAAAAAAAAATGTAACCGCAGGAGGGGGTCCGACCCCCCCCTCCTATGTGACCCCGGTCGGGTCGTCTAGCTGGTAGAAGTGGAGGATGGGGGCCAGAGGAGCAGACGACGACGAAATTGTATACCGGTTGCCCCGGTCACCCACTCAGCCTAGTTAGGGTAAGGTCATGGGTTCGAGTCCCGGCAGAGTGAGTTTTTTCCTAATTAATTAAAACCTGGTCTCCATTGGAACCCACGCGCTGCAAAGCTCGTTGTTAGTAAACTTGATCGACTTCATAAGTCGCGAGGGAAGGGATTGCTGTACCCGTCTCGCGAAAACTATATCTCACGCAGGAACCGCAGGAGGGGGTCCAACCCCCCCCTCCTATGTGACCCCGGTTGGGTCGTCTAGCTAGTAGAAGTGGAGGATGGGGGCCAGAGGGGCAGTCGACAGAGTCCAATGATGGGAGAAAAACAAACAAAAAAATAACGTCAATCTGCTGTTGCTGTTGCGGGGTGGTATTGCTTAGTGGTATTGTTGTGCATGGGTGCTGTTGTCACCTCTATCCACAAGATACCTATGCATACCAATGTGTGCTTTTTGTCCTTCGCGGCGACGGTCGGTGAAATTCTTTTTCTCTGTGAGTCTCGCTACAAGCTGAACAACTTTAGACTACTGCAGTCGATACATCCAAGCTGTAGCAGACAGAGGTTTCCCGAGGTCGGATCTACAACCCCCACCCAAAGCGCAGTATTTGTTTTATTTTTTTCTCCCATCATTGGACCCCCCCGGTGTTTGTCATCGGGGTTGGGTTTTCGTCGCTTGGCAACGACGTTGTAAAACAAGCCGCCCCCCCCGGTGTTTGCCATCGGGGTTGGGTTTTCGTCGCTTGGCAACGACGTTGTAAAACAAGCCAATTCACTTCGTGAACTCGGCAACCAGGTTACCGTTTTTTTTTTTTACCTCCGTTTTTTTTTTTGGCGGTAACCATAATGGTGGTCGAGTAGATCATGTTGTGCGGGGTGGAGAACCCTCACTCCGCGCAAGGGGGATGATCGCACCACGTTGTGTTAAAATGGTCAAGCACCCTCGAGGCAGTTACACAGTGCTTACAACTGTCTCTGGAAGTGAAAGCACCAGAAAATAAATTAAGTCATACGCAGCTGTCATCCGTACGCAAGGAAGTAAGCACAAGATGCCGAAAACCCTTAGCAGGATGCAGCGCACCCTTCATGCGACTCGCCGAATATCTCACGGCGCTTCGCGCTTGGTGATGTGAGAGCCTGGTCCGGTGAGAACCCGGCGTGCTCCGTCCCGGCTTTGTAGGGATGCGAGGTCAATGGTCTAACGACTACGGCATGCACGACTATGAGTACACACACACACACACACACACCCATCATTGGACTCTGTCGTCTGCCCCTCTGGCCCCTATCCTCCAAATCTACTAGCTAGACGACCCAACCGGCAGTAGCTCCTGCAATACCCCACCAATGTATTTGGCTTTAGGGCCGCTAAGGCAGGAATTTCATCGCGATTTGCGGCTAGCACACAGCAGAAGCATCAAGGATAAAACTCTGCTGTTTTTCTGTGCATTTGAAGGCGGTATTGTTGTATGATGCAAAGACTACTATGATACTGCTGTAGACCACCGTGTTAGTGCTGCAGCAGACTTCTAGGCGCCGGAAGCGTATTTCACAGGAGTGTCTGTCGATATTCTAAGTCCCCAAGGTCTACTGCACGGTAGAATTTGTGTGCCAGCTAACGTAGGCAGTGAGAAGACCTCTTCGGGAGCTCTCGGAATATGCATCAGACGATGCCGAACCCTCGTCGTGTCCTGTACACTACATGTAGCTCGTTCTTGACCGACAGAGAGAGATAAAACGTCTCCAATATCTAGATGCCATGGCGAATAGAGTATGTATACGCGTTCAGAGTCACCACCAACAAAGGCGATTCCATTTTTTCAGACAAAACGATTGGCATGGAACATTTCGCGCTGCTGTGTGAGTATATGCAGGCCGTCATTACACGTTTACTCCCTCCCCCAATGAACCTCGAGAGCACACTCAACCTTTGGCCGTATATGGTCGGAGGCCGTTCAGACATTCGTTTCTACACTCGTGTAAGCCAAAGAACACCGCCGTAGGTCGGGTTACCTCGTGCCCCACAACACTTGTAACTTGTTTTTCTTCGCACTTCAGAACACAACGCACCAATATCTATCCACAGATGAGAGTCCAGGATAAATAAGAAATGAATCAATTGGAAGTTTTTCTTTGCCTAAGAACCATTACAACAATAAAATGAAATGAAACTGCAGGCGCGCCGAACCCCTACCAAGCGAGCGGCGAAGACGTACGAACGGCCCGGGCTGTCGGAGGAGGAGATCGAGGAGATCAGGGAGGCGTTCAACCTGTTCGACACGGATGGGTCGGGCACGATCGACCCCAAGGAGCTCAAGGCGGCGATGCAGTCCCTGGGATTCGAGGCTAAGAACCAGACCATCTACCAGATGATCAGTGACATCGACAAGGTGATCACCTGCCGTATTTTGGACAAGCAGCTACCGGTACACAGTCAGTGCAGTGTCGCTACGAAACGTGTGCGTACCATTTTTTTTTAAGTGCTACTGGGGGGAGATGCTGTAGTTGATACACAAGAACGACTGTTTGGTGCTGCTCCAGGTGATGCTCATGGGTGTGCGTTGAACTGAAATCAAGTCTTTTCTGTGCGGATTGAGAGTATCCTACTGGATGCTGGACTTAGTTTTTCCACAAAGCGTTTGCTCGGCGACATCATCAAGGCGAGAACCAACGCCAACAGATGTGGTTGTTCTGTTCTGAGTGTGCCTCCACGATGGAAGTATGAATGCTTTCTCGGTATCGACAGCAGTGGTCGAGGACGCGAACACCACCCCTGTAGTACACATAAAACTGTCGATGATACTGGAGGTGGAGGATTGATTGGCAGGAGTCGTCCCGGCGAATACTCGATTGTCTCCAGGTCACGCTCCGGGTCCCTCATAGAAGCGTGCGAAAGCAGCAGCCCCATAATTACAGCCGTGGACACAGCGATGAAGAGAGCGTGCCGCATGTGGAACGCTCCTCCGACCGAGCCCTTCGCTCTAGACGTACCCCCCCCCCCAATTTCGAGTAGGCGATCTGGACTTGCCAGAACGGAGGAAGAGGTACAGCAGCCGTAGGAGAGAGGAAGAGGAGGATAGACAGACATGTCCATGTGGCAAATCGGAGGAGAGTAGACCCCACATAGTTGGGGAGTGTGAGCTGTACAGGAAGGAAAGAGAGGATCTCGAGGAGGACATGAGACAGAGAGGGTGTGACATGGACAAGTTTGGTAAATTAGACAACAGCGAAAAAACGATCGCGGTAATTGGGGATAGATGGTGGGCACAAGAGGCCGTAGAGGACGGGGATAACATGTGCAAGGAAGTTTTATGTAGTTTGTGGCAGAAACGTAAAGGGCTCCCAAATGTTGGTGGTGACTCTATTAGGGGTAGGAACGGTGCTCCGTCTCGAAAGGGACGCGTGGTCAATGGTCAAATGACTACGGCAAGCAACAAATGAGTACGCCCCCC